AACCAGGTCTCCGAAGGCCTAGCAGCAAAAACCATTGTCATATTCGGAATCAGCATAGTCGATAACCTATTCTCCACTAGGTTTCAAGAAAAAAGCGAGCGGACACTTGGGGCAGTTCCCTCGTGAGCTACTTACTCCTCACACTCAAATCACTTTTCCAGTTAACTACTTTTAAGCAGAGATCAAGGCTAGTACTAGCGTGCTGAACAGGAAGTGCACTTCATATGCAATTTTTTTTCTTCTTTAGTATAAGATCTTTTAGTTCCGAAAAATACTAATCATCGAAATTTAACGTTGTCAAAAAGTACAAAACGACGACAACTTGCTTATTATTTTGAGAATTAGCACAACATTCATCGCTTACCTCCACTTCGAGAATTTATAGAATTACAATCATAATTTTTAATTAATAAACTGCAAACAAATAACATTAAATAAAGACAAATATTGTTCATCGACATTTCTAGTAATGATGAGAGAAAAGTTCTATATATGTTAAACTAAGATTTGGAGTTTAAAAACAACATAGTCGGCACATACCTTTAAAATTAGACAAAATTCTTTAAAATGTACACACATACACTACGCACTTCTTTCAATTTTAACACAGAAATGAATTGTATAGATGGGCAAGAAAAAATCGTCAGTTGACTACTTATAGTTTGGAAAGAAAAGAGAAAGAGAAAGAGAGAGAGAGATTTTTTTTTCTTTTTACTGTATGACCACTAACGACTGTACGTTTGTTTTTATTGTTACACACTGTACGAAGGTGGTAAATAGTTATTTGTTTGGCCACGGACGGTAGCAATTGTCTTAGTATAGTCTACAAATAACAGAGTATACTTTTCTTTGTCAGACGCTATAATAATTTTAATCATTGAAATTTTATCGTGTAGTGTAGATTCCTCTTTTTCTCCATGCTGAATGCAGGTATCGGAATGCGAGATATATCTGTTTTCTCTCATGCTTGTAATGACTAGTCATTTCCAATAGAAGTGAATATCTAAATGCTTTGTCTATAGTTTATGCAGAAAATGAAAACAAAAATGGCAGTTTAAAGACAAATAATGTATAGCAATATTCTTTTTTATAAAAACTTCTTGAATTGATAACAGAGTCGATTTGGAGAAAGTCACTCACTCTTTAAAAAATAACTGCCTTATTTTCCTTACAGTTCAGCTATTCTTAATGATACAAAATATTTGGGGATAGGTGGGTAGAGCGAACATTTTCCTATCGATTAATGCAAAAATCCCTGATAGTTACTTACCTATAGTCAAATCAAAATGTGAAGAGCACTATCTGAATAAGTAATTCTTTTTCAACATGTAAGCTACTTTCTCCCATCGGGAGAATCGCTCATTGAAACAGTGCTCTTCACATTTTGCTTTGACTATAGGTAAGTAATTATCAGGAATTGAAACGGCTTTATTCTGGTGTATAATCTCGACAAGAATCCTTTCAGGATAATAAAATTTGGAAACTTCTGATTAGTAACATGATTCATAGATAGTACAGACGTCTACAAAAGAAACCGATGATTGCATTACAGATAAATCTAAATTTTTGTTAACCTTCACAACTTTTCAAGTCTTTTGACCCTTATTAAGAATAGCGGCAGCTGCTTCAATCATTATATAATACGTTCCGACGTTTCGATTTTATTAGAAAATCATTTTCAAGGTTGTCCACAGAAACAAACTTTATATCAATTGGATGGAGTAGGCTATACATACAGTTTAGATCAGCCTTCTTTTCCTTTCTTTCTTTTTCTTTACATTTCTTTACTTTTCACGTCCTTTCTAGTCTACAGCAAAAGTCATAGTTCATTTACTATTTTATTCCTTTCTTTCCACGATCTATAGGAAAGCAACGCTTTGTTAATCCTTCTGGAAATATTATCATAGGCACCGAATGCGTTGCACAGTTCAAGGCAGGTTTAAGTGATTTTGACACTAACTAAACTGTCTTTGATCGATAAGCGATACGAATTACTGTCAGTGCAGATGACGTCGAAATTCACTCAGTTTATTACTTACTCTAACTTTATCATTACCGTGTTGTCCTAGTGAGAAGCGTCTTGGATTTGTACGACGTTAAAACTGCTCGCTGTTTGTTTATTATAGGACCACTTCCATGCCTTGACGAGAATATCTTTTTCTATATCTTCATCAGATTTTTCATCATAGAGTATACTGAGACCATCTTGTTGAAACAACCACGCCGACGACTGAATTACCACTATAGAGAATTCAGTTTTCCATACAACAGTATCTGATATCAACTTTTTTCTACAGAATACAAACGAAAAATATTCCATTATAGTATTCTAAACTAAAACTATCGAAAAACACAAAATCAAGTTTGTAAGAAAATAAAGATTCGAACACGACGTTAGCTTTTCAGTAAACTACAAAGTATTGATATAACGTATTTGATTGTCTCTTCACTTCAACTCATATGTATAGCATCTTTTTTTCGAATAGTTTCATTTTTACTTTGTCGATCAGGTTTATTATAAGTTTTTGTCAGTAAGGGGACACCTCGTATATCCTGATCCCGATGGGGATGGGATATAGCTAGATCAGGATACAGAAAAAAAATTAATATCCCGATAGGGATATAAAACACAAAATTTCGTCGTAAAGACTATTATGGGAAGAATGACGAAGTTTTGGGGAAAAATTGACGTCATCATTAGAAAGAGCTCGACAAACTACATCGGATTCTGTTGTGTTTGATCAAGCAACTAGGCAACGATTTTTTCGAACAAAAACCTTTAACAAATTTTAGTCTAATTTAAATGTGCATTCCTATTGCCACATGCATGCATTGCCCAGGACTTGGATGACTGCAGACCCCATAGCTCCACGAGTTTGTTGAAAAATGTTTTTCTTCGTATCAGAAGAAAGAATTTTGCAGCACGTGACGGATGAGTGTGGTATTTGTGTCAATGGAAATGCCACTGGCGCGTCTGTTATGTGTTCTTCGGAGTAATCGACATACAGCTGCAATGGCACCCGTTTGCGGAATCATTAGGTAGAGATCTGTGATGTCAAATGTGCATGTGAGAGCCGCTGTGACTGAGTGGTTAAGTTGTTCAGCATGTACCCCCAAGGTACTGTGTTCGAGCCTCGACGCCACTAGACATGGAATGACCCTGGGCAAGTCATTAACGGCTGCTTGCCTCGGACCACCCGTCCGATAGCATGCTGACTACGTTGTGACATACGCCGACCCTCGCGGCTAGTATGTGGTTAGTCAGTGTGTACGGGGAGCTCAAGCAATTGAGCGAAAGAATTCTGAGTCAGGCTGGCCTTCTGTTCAGAGCTACAGCTAGTATTAGTTGTAGGGAAGATATCGGGCTTACGAAACTGCCTCCTGGCAGCACCCTATACCGCAAGGTAGCCGAAAGGCGGGGTATTCTTCTTTCCTTCCAAATGTGCATAGTAGCGTGTCTGCTGTTATGGACTGTGTGTCTAACATACCAAGGAATTCCAATGTGTTTTTCACATTGTAAGATCTTGCATGTTTTTTAAATATTGGTCGTAATACCTGGTCGAGAGACTTCGAAATAACTAGTGGTGATATTATGTGTGTGGTTTTAGTGTTTTGAAAATCATCTTACAGATTTTCTTTGCTTTTAAGTAATGCTAATAATTTCCAAGTTGATTAAATCATTTCGGGTAGTGAATTTCGATGTATCTCAACGCAGGCATTTGTTTTCGCCATGTATAAATCAGATTTTCTCCCAGGTTCCCTGCGGTATGACATGCAATACTTTAGACTTAACTGTCAAACGATTGACTATCTTAGTGTCGCTTTGTCTTTCGAGGGAAGGCCACCAACTTTTTTTTCTGATTCAGCCATATGAAAGAGCACATCATCAAACCTGCACAAAACTACTTTTCGAGGTTTTATAAAAGCTTTTGAGCAGATTCTCTACATAAAAACTTCAAATACCGTTAAAAAAAAGGTTTTTTGACATTCGGCGTTTTAAACCATTTTTCTCAATCAAAAATTTCACTAAACGATCGTTTGCCTGTTTTAGATAAACCATCTCATTTTTCTTCAGATTTTTACTATCATTAAAGTTGTCAATATATTCTTAAACCCAAAGCAGCTATTATCTACTGGTAAGTGAGGTCGTTAATCCGCTTCGTTCAGTTATGTGTCAAACTTTTCGCTTCTTTTAGAGAGCATGAATGCTCAAAATCTTGTCTCACTTCTGAGTGATTTAGTTTTGAATAACCCGACTATTAGTACTGATGGAGCTGACTCCAATGGAGCGTCAGGTAGCAGAACATTTGGTCGATACAATAACATCACTATCAAACTGTGGAAAAGTTCATTATGAGGATGAGACAATTTTAGATCTCGGTGAAATGTCGGATGAGTATGATAGCGAGAATGAAGAAATTGACGAAGACGAGCCCACTGGTGTTGAGATCAGTGAAGAAGTAGGCGACCGTGTAAATATACTGATTGGAAATTAATAATAAATTAATTAAATGCATTAAAACCGTGTAAAAAATAGATTTTGGCATCTCAAAATACTTAGAAAAGCCATATTTTTGCCCTGTTGGTCGCACATCATCCCGTTTTTAAATATAACTTTCCAATATCATTTTTATCACCTAAGACGGCCGACCCTGTGGAAACCTCATCTCTAGAAATATTTCGAATACTCAATTCTGAGTGTCCCGGTAATGAAACGATATGATTTACTAGCTCCATTGAGTTTTTAATTGTACCTTGATGCATACATTTAAAGTTATTGTATCTGTGTTTCATTTTTTATTTTCTGTATAACTTGGACACAATGTCGAAAAAAGTTTTTGCAACAATTGCATCACATTCAAACGATACATATTTCTTAGTTTTATTTTATTTTACACTCTATTCATTTTTTCCATGCATATCTTGACTATTTTGTTGTTGACCCCTGGTCTTAGATATATATCTTGTGAGATACCCGAGAGAATGAAACAAACTATCAGTCAAAGATGATTTCCTCTTTTCTTCTTCATTATTTTTTCTATTTTTTGTTTTCTCTATTAAAAGAGAAGCATCTATTTCTCTTGTCTCTGTCGTTTTAATGTTAGCTACGGAATTTTATTTTATTTTAATATTATTTTCACTCTCTGTCGTATCATATATTGACACATGTTTGTTATTCATCGTTAGCATTTCAAACTTGAAAAAGCATTCTATATCGATCGTGTGAGTTTTTTGTACCTAATTTTTTGTTACATCAACTATAACTTGAGATTATAATAAAAATACAAGTAAAAATTCGCGTTTTCTGTGCTACACACAGCAACATACTTTCTTGAAACCTTTTGGATAGGAAAGAATTATTACAACAGATTTCATTCAATAAGCGTTCGTACGATCGCTTTTCCACTTCTATTAAATATAACTAAATATATCACTGGATAGTGCTTGAAAAACTGCATGTATCTGTTATGATTTGAGTGAAAGATGAGCTGTTTTACGTTTGAAACTAATTAACCGCCGATGAGGCGCACATCATTCTATTCACCAGGCTTCTACATCTACACTGTGCCTTGTGAACCACACAGAAGGGAAAAATAAACATTTTTTGATAAAGTTTAGATGGACCAAATAACTTTTTATGTAAAATTTGACTAATTAATTAAAAACTCGATTTTTATCTGTCGGCTATAATCATTTTTGATAATTTCTTTTTTTCATCATATAGTTCAGACTTTGCTCTCTGAATGATATATAAACAAAAATTCTATCTGCTCAATAAATATCCAAATAGGAGTGGAAAAGTGACCGCACGAACACTTATTGAGCGAAAAAAGCATATCAGACTTAAAAACCTGCTATTTTTTGATAGAAGAATTTTAAAGAAAAATTTGCTACTAACTGGGAATAAAGCTGATGCTTAGAGCTATCGAATGTTTAAAAAGTAATCTTTTTATCCTTCTTCCTGTAGGAGATAATGGCGTTACAAATTTTTTGTCCTACATCGCACGAACACTTTTCCCTCTAACTGTAGATAAGAGAGATCTAGAGAAGGGGAAAATACACATACCAAATAGAGAACTACTGATGACTCGGTATGCACTAGTAAGAAGTGTCTATCGACTCCAGAAGTACTTATATGTAAATTTAAGAAGAACCCAGATCACATTGTAATGATTACTACGAGGACAGACGGTACTGTGTGAAAGATAAAGAGCAACATATGATGACTAAACCTTTAAGAAGGCTCTTTGATTAAACGCTGTTCTAAAACTAGACAATTTTGCCCAGTTTTTACCAAAAAGGAAGAAATGCAGGAAAAAATTTTCTTTAGAAGGAATAGGGAGAAAAGGAGGACGGAAATGATGCAAGCTTATGATAATAATTTTAGTGGCTTAATGCAAGTAACAGTCAAAGAATAATGCATATTGAAGAAAAGCAATTCAATTACAACAAGAGCACATGATGCGTATGAATGCTTGTGAATGACTCATCTATTTTAATAGAAAAAAAGCAAAAATACCTTGAACTTTCTCTTATCATAGAACGAAAAGACAAAAAAAAAAGTAAATATATGTGCGTGGAGTACAGAATCAGTGTTTCTTTCATATTAAAAAGCTCTAGACGAATAATACACACTATATATAGTCTTTCAACACATGTTGTTTGTACGTGAATATATATACGGAATTTTAGTCATATTATTATCATTATTATTTCTACTTCGACGAAATTATAATCAGTTTGCATCTAAATTAAGAGAAAAACCAAGTTATTTTTTATGGTGTGTAACACTGATTATAAAACTAATTGGTTGGTCTAAAGAAGAGTATGTTCTTCGTACAAATCACTTAAAATCAGATACTGATGGCTATTTAAATGATAATGATATACCTGTTCGTACAAAATCAAGACCAGAAATGCTGCGTGGTACACCACATCGTCATTTATCTCAACATGCACCAGACGATATTATGAATGAAATGAACAAGTATATTGAATCTATAACTATTCCAAGGTATGGTGGACAAACAATAAATAATAATTTATTGCTACGTGGCCCATCAGCCTTAGAATTCACAGGTGCTGACGGTATTTTTCTACCGAATATCGAAGATAATACAAAAATTACACATGGTGAAGTTGCACATATACATTCAAATGATGGTTCATTTCATATGATTTTGCATCCAAATGATACAAAATTATTAATAGGAAAACAATGGGGAGAACTTTTCCCTTTAGCTGGTCTAAATTTTATGGGTTTCCGTTTACCAGATACATACACATTGATCTATGCACCACAAAATGAAATTGATGTAAAAATATGGAAAAAGATATTAAATGCTTGTATTAAATATAATCAAGAATATAAAAAGCAATTACATTGAACTCTGAATGACTATAACTTTAAATGATAAATAGTTTTTATCCGTTTTTCTATTGTATTTTGAGAACTTGAATCATTTGAATGAAATTGAGATACACGACTTGTCCAAAGCAGAGACCGAATCGGGTCTTAGGTGGATGACCCGACCCGATCCGAATCAATATTTTCTATGTGGACCCAAGCGCGACTCGATCCGAAGGCTTTTTCACCCGACCTGACCGCGAAGTGGTACGAAATTTTCGAAACTTGACCCGAATGACCCGAAAATTTTCTTAGGTGACCTAATAAATTTTTCTGGAAAAAGAGCAGAAGCGTATAGTTTTTGTAATAGCCTAGAACGTTTCTCTGGTATTTTGTCCAAGTGATAGTTCATTCGAACTGTGATAACCCGAAACAGGAAATCTTTCTCGATCGTATATTGTCATGAAGTTTAACCATCATAATGCGACGCATATTTAAGGCGTTCGTTTTTTTGGATTTACTTATGTTTCCTTTTTTCTTTCTTTGCTTGAACAGTGCGATACGGTACAATGTATAGTGTACAGTGCGCAGCGTCAAAGCAGGAAGGAAGAAACACTGTAATTTGATCGCAATAGAAGATCAACCTTTAGAACTCGAGTTGCGGGACAAAATAGAAGATTAGGTGGTCTTTTATAATGGGGAGAAGAGGGGTTTACTTGTTTTTCCGATAAAAAAGGTACATCCCATGCAGATGGAAAAAGTCGTTCGAGGGGTGCGGCGAGCACTCGAAAACAGGCCCTCGCCGAGGGCTCCACCCCTCGGAAAATGGCACTTCGGACCCTCGATATAAGCTTTCGAGGGGTATCGATTTCGAGCCCTCGGATTTCAGATAGGTAGCGACCCCTCGAGAAAAATTTCGAGCCGTCGAATAGAGATGTTCGGGACTTCCGAGCCCTCGTC